GCTGATTTGATTTTGCCATTGCAACCATTAGTAAACATGTAATCCCCCCAAACAATGCTAATGCAGTGATCCCATTGCTTAGCGGCCCAGCACCAATTCACTGATTTCCAACTGCTGTCCCTGTAGCAGTTAATACATTATTGAATCACTATTTACAAATGGAGACATTTAATGTATCCAAAAGGCTTCTGCAATTTATTTTAGAAAAGATAAACGAACATGTAAATGAGAGCTAAGTATCATGATAACAAACATTTTTAGATTTGTTGTTACAGATGCATCTTTAATTATTAGCATACCTCCTTTCGAAGAGTCTTTGTTCCTTTAAATGCATCTTGTTTTTCCCTGAAACAAATCAACTTGCTTTATCGTTTTTCCTTTTTTCAAATAAGAGTACCTTTTCTGACAAGATGATTGATTATCTATTGAAAATATAGATATTGTGCAGTCCAATAAAACACAACCACAAACTAAAGAAATGTTCTTAAAGTGTACTTATTGGATTGAGGCTGCATGGTTACGTTATTTCTTTCTTTTATTTGGAGGGCTCGTGCCCTAACACCTCCAGTATGTACTAAAGGGGGCTTCTCAACAATGATGTTGGTGGGCTGTTCATGTGGCCTTCAACGCTGAGTGAAGTGTTCACTTGACCCTTCACTTGTCGAAACAATTATCAGCTGTCAAAGTGATGCATACAGATGGGAAACCCTGCAAGTGCATCATTGAGCCGAAATAACAGTGGCTAAAGAGAGACTAAAGTTTTAAAATATGTGGTTACTTAAGTTAACACGTTTTACATCGCCAACATGTATTGGAAAAACTGAGCCAGAGACTGAAGACTGAGCAGCTTTAGTTGCATGTTTATAATACATTTTGGCATTTAAAGTGTTTTTCTACAGCATAGTAGAGAGTAGCCTAGATAGAGGAAATTAGGCAGCAGAAGTGTCCTCCTTGTCTTTTCTTTCAGTCCCAGTTGTTTTAACCTTGCTTTGCTTCAGAGTTAAGGGGCCAATTATGGAACGGTATTGGGGGTTAAGCAATTCAAAAACCTCCCATAATGCAAGCAGTGCAAGTATTTCAGAATGAGCAGTGCATTTGCTGAAACTGACCTGTGCTGTTTTTCAATGTTAACATGAATCTTAGAGGCCATGATCACATGTTTTGTTCTCCCACACAGAGAGCACTCAAGTGTGAGTTCCCTCACAGGCACATTAGGTGAAAGGTTTCAAGCAAGTTCATCAGTCAGCTGAAGGTTATGCAAAGAAAAATTGCAGCATTTGGATGAAAAATGTTTACTGCATCTAGCTGCTGGATTTTTTTTTCTTATATTTATTATTTGTCTGACTTTCTCTTTTTTTGCTTGGTCCCATAACAGTTGGAAATAAACAGCAGTCTATAAGCCTCCTTCACAAGGCTGTAGCTCTCTTGGTCTAACAAAGTACAAAATAAAGTGAAAATAAAGTTTTTCACCTGCAATCTGTTCCATTACCATATGGTGAAATTTCCATGCCAAGCTACTTCCCCCAGCATTTCAAAGCATCCTCTATCCATGCACTCCATCCCTGTCTTCTGACATCTTTCTTCATACTTCTTCTTGACTGGCATATTTGTCCCTCAGGCACCATTGGTGCCCTCCCCAGCTTCCTAATTGTTGGTGCACTGTTAGATGAGTGCAGATTACGTTGCCCCCCTGCTCCTCAGCAAACTCCTTCAATATTAATGAAGACTGATGAAGTGCTAGGGAGCCCCTGTCTTTCAGCACCGACCTAGACTGGATTGACAATTGCAATTAGCGTCCCCTCAAGTCCATTTCCATCACTTTAATTTGACACGAAGAAGGACAGTGCGGGGAGGGAAGGGAGACCCGCGAGAGAAAGAGATCCTGAGGAGAAAGGTTGGAGAGGGAAAGTGGGGTGAAAGAGTTTGACCAGGAACTAGTTGGAAAGATATCAAATAGGAGGAGCATACACTTTAGCAGACATGAAGGAAGTCCCTAGAAATCTTTCCCTCAATGATATCCGAAACGTTTTTTTTGCAGCTAACATTTTACATTTCTTTCATCATGTGCAGAGTCTGCACTAGTCAAATCCACCATAAGACCTTTAAGTCAGGTTGTGATTTCTACTGCCTCCATGACTCTCAGTATATGTTTTTCAGTGCTTGCCTGGTATCAGTATGTCTGTGTGCACGTTTCTTCTCCCACCTGCAACAGTCACTTAATGGATTGCTTCTCAGTGTGTGTGAGAAAGGAACAGCAGCTACTGAAAATTAATGATTCTCCATCCTTTTGCAGTACAAAATTGCATTTAAAGATAGTCAAAGGTTGATGATGTGTCATGTTTGTGTGTATTTCTCTATGCACGTTTTTATTTTTGTGCATACATATTATGTATGCGTATTGTGATAGGAAATGGGACATCGGAATGCTTTGACATTGAGACATTCATTTTAAACCATCCATTGCTCAAATTGACCGAAGGAATTGGTTTTATCTGTGTGTGCATGTGTGTGTTTGTAATTGTAGGCAGGGTTTACCTGTCTCCTTGTTTGACTGACAGATACATTTCCTTCCCACTGTTAGTCAGCCCATATCATCTTTTTCCCTCCTGTCTTTTGGAAATGATCTGGACTGATAGGCACTGGAATGAGAATAACAGAAATGCCTGCCATGCCTCAAATGAGCAAACACACAATTACAATTTGTATTGACCTCTAGCCCTGTTGAGTGCAAAAGTGTGCTGACCGTTTTTTTAAGATACCTTGTGTAAAAAGGAAATATGTATTGAGCCACACAGTGTAGAAAATCCTGCTGCTCTACTGCTAAAGAGTGCCACAGTGACGCGTCCTAAAACCCGGAAGTAAACTCCTTCCGGTTCCTTCGACAAAAAAGCAATGCAATTTCTCCATAGGACTTTGGAAACTAGCTGGAAATAAGGTCTGTGGTTGAAACACATTTAAGAGACGGATCACGTTTTGTTCANGCCGGTCGCTCTCTTTTCTTGATTGCCCTCTCACGGGTGAACAGTTCAATTCAAACTAAAGTGGTAGAGACATGGCAGAATTCCTACAATGAAGCGGGACATTGAACTGTTCACCCGTGAGAGGGCAATCAAGAAAAGAGAGCGACCGGCCCCGTTGTGGGAGTTTACATGTAGTTTACAGATGAAAAGACTCAGCCATGTTTATGCAGCACTGCACGTGGAGATGTGGACGCGCAGATTACGTAGGCCTACATGTATACAAACTTGCGGCGGAAACCCCCTTGTCTGTCAGTGAGTGTGATTATTTTTTAAATAAGCAAAGGCTGTTTGCATTGAATTTATCCTTAAAACTGAAAACCAAGTATCAATATTAAAGACAAATCACAGTTTCTTCTTCTCTCAAGTACTAACAAGCTTTAAAGAAATATTTATATATTTGATTAGAGCAGTGGTTGGGGGCGCGAAAGATCCCAGGGCTCAGATGATTTGAGGCCAAATAACATATTTAGACTTTTTTTTATTATTTTTACATATAATTGTAAGGCAATACATGATTGTCACTAAAAGCCTTGTCTCTACATTACAATAAAATATAAAAAATAATTGATTAATTAATTTTAATAAAAATTCAAGTTAGTAGCTATTAAAGGCATATAAAGAAAGAAATGTATAATTATTTCTTTAATAGAAATGTTTCTTCTGCCCGTAAAGTGTCCAAACCAGGCTTGTCTGGATAAGCGCATTTAAAACATAGTCATTTTCCATGCCAGTTTCAGTTGGATTATTTGTCAGTTGCTCCGATCAGATCGGTCTCCTCCATTTTGTAGATTATTTACGACTTTTGAATCCACATAAACAAATCGGCAAAATCCGGCGTGTTTTAAACAGTTTAATCTCTTTGTGAATTGTTTCCACTTCCATTGTTTTCGGTCCTTTAATTTCTTCATACAGCGGGCATCCAACTTCCAACAGGAGTCATTTTGGGGGGGGGCTCTTGGGAAAAAAGGTTGGGAACCCCTGCTCTAGGGGGGTCTGGTTTCTTTAAATTGAAGTTAAAGGCATCAACCTGGTGCACAAATTAAGAGATTTATGGATACAGCTCTCAACACTCAAAACAGAACTGTATATATTTCAATACTCCAAAAACCATTAGAATATGCTCACAAGCAATAACAAATCATTGATAAACTCCTCTCTCCTATCTTTATCATACCTCGTCTGCATTCTTTCTTTTTATTTATGCATATTTTACTAATCATTAACCTTTCAAACTGTGTTTTTGATTTTTACTGACCTATAGCACTCAGTGGAATGATTTATTAACTTATTTTGAACAACTATTTTAAATAGATGGAAATACTTGTTTACATAGATGACCAAACTGTTTGATACCCACTGAGATAACTAAGACTACAGTTTAAAATCTAATCGCTCAGCGAGTCCTTTAGCTCACCCAATTACCCCCAAGGTGGGTGCGCCCCGCAGGTTGGGAACCACTAGAGAATGTGAGGTCATCACAAATAAAACAGGTTCACATGGATACTAGATAAGTTTGCGAACTCATTATATACACTACACAGCTAAACTCCTTTTAGATTCTAATCTCCGTTAGCTCCGAGCTAGCACCAGATGCTAACAACAACAACCCCCGTCTCTCTCTCTGTCTCTCTTTCTATCTCTCTCACACAAAATGCGCTCGTGCTACACACACACAGACGCTCCTCCTTGACGATGACCGCTTGCATAAACATTTATAAAAAAAAAAACACATTTGAAAAGGGGGGGGGACACAAACGGGATTTTGAAAAGTGGGGGGGACATTTCCCCCCTGTCCCCAGTGGAAATTACACCCATAATTATATGTACTAAGACAGAGTCACAGGGTTTAGCTTCTAAAAAAGCGGACTTCCAGTATAATGTCCCCTGTTGTCGTGTTGTCGGCCCGGTGTAAACACTCTCCCGCCGGCCTGCTGCCTTACATGGGCAAACCTCTCCTCACTGCAGGCGGCTGGAATTTCAGAGCGTGACGTCACTGCCTACAACTCTCCCAGAATTTGGATCAAGAAGTTTCACTTTTTGGGTGGGATTGGAACCTCTGTTATAATATTCCCTAGAAAGCGAGGTAAGCACAACTTTGGAGCACTTTAAACATATGTGCGTCTGTCGGCTGTGAAGTTTAATGTGTGTGTGATAACCCGGTATAGCTCGTCTTTAATGTGTTCGGCCTAGGCTATGATATGCCTTTTTACTGTAGCTCGGACTGGGTTCACAGTGAGGGCGTGGACTCACACGATAGCCTCGGCTTGTACTACTGTTACATGAGGAGACTAGCAAAGTTAACGTGTCGGTTAGCTAGTCATCAGCCCGGCTCAGCCCGGTTGAGTTTAAACCCTGTGGAGCGGGACTCAGGCGACTCTGTTGGGTCTGTTCTCAGCTCTCTGCCGCTGAGCAATGCGGAAGACTGCCTGTCAGTGCAGAAACACGAGAGCAGAAATATGTCGCTGATATTTCACTTCAGCAGGCTCATAAGCATCCATTCACCAAGTGCCCCATTACAGGAATAACAGTTAGCTCCCTGACTGTTTGGTAGTTTTAGCTTCGTCGTTAAACAAAATAATATTTGCGAACTTGTTTACGGCAGCACAGATTCGCCACGTTGTTAACGTTGTTTTTATGACGCTCTCTATCATTCACTTGGAAAATACTGTTGTTTCTGTAAAGTTGTTGGGACTTCTGTATCCATTCGACTTACATTATAATTCATTGCACACACGTTTGTTCAGGCCCATAAAGGACTAACTTACAGTGAAGGCCTTAGAATACTTTGAACCCTGGTCTGTATGAAAAGACAAGCCAGGAAAACATAATTGGCATGAAGTGACATTAACATGTCCACACAGTTCAGGCCTGGCCCCATGTCAAGTCTTTTTTTACTTCTAAAGACCCTGGTCAGATACTCTCTGCTGGCCCCTTGACAATGCAACATGTTACCTCAGAAAGTTCTGGATTAAGTGACTTCACTTCATGTACAACCCCACAAGTATCAAGCTAAATTAAGATAAGTGTAATTTTATCAATTCGACTGTCTCAGCCTGTTGATAACATCATCTGGGAATTTTCTTAAGGACAAAGTCTACATTTAAAATTAAACCCCATTCATTAGGTGTGATGTATAGTATTGTGTATAAGTATGGAATGTAACTACATGTAACTACATGTCTCCCCTAAAGCTTTACAAGGGTCATACACACACAGATGAGTAGCCTACTGAAAACCTCCCTATTGTAGCTTTAACGTTGTCAATGTCAATATATGAAAATCTCTGTCTAGACTACAGGTATTGTTCTGCCATAAAATATCACTAGTGTGAAAAATAAGTCTCACTGTCTTGGTTGAAAGACTGAATTCATACTTTGACTTAGATGTTGAATTTCAAATCAATAACACTAAGGTCCCCTAAGAGTGCTGTCATCAAACCGAATACATCTGCGTCGCCCCGACACATTTCTGACTCGGGCAACATTAAACTGAACTGTCTCTAAAATCTCTGGTTAAAAAGAACTCGTTTGACAGCGTTGATGATGTTAAAGTTAAAAGATGACTGCCTTTGAGCCAGGGGCCCCCTGGTAGGTTTAATCAAGACATTCTACTGTTTGTGTTACTTTAATGAGGATGTGTTTTTTTGGAAGGAACAGCAGTTTCACCATACTCAAATTGAAGAGTAGAGCGAAATGAGAAGACGGTGGTCTTTCAGAAAGTTTTACCATAACCCGAAGCTAGTGTTCCCTAAGCTTGGTAAATATGGTTTATTGGTACCAAAAATGAAGACAAGACGCACTGCTTCTGCATCTGCAGATACCTCACAGTCTTTGCTACAGGGTCCTTTAACACCACTAACTACTGTTCTGAAGGTTTTTCCAGAATCCTCAGAGACTCCTCCGGTCATCTGGATGAAATAATATTCCATCTTGGTATCATAAAATATTCTAACCTGTTTCCCCAATTGCACCCCTTTCTTAATCCAAAAAAACTAGTTTTCCCAAATTGATCTTGTGCATTTTGTGACTTTATAATATCAGAAAATATTCAAGCTTTTTCTCCTGAAATTATTCAACAACAGCCCTATGCGCTGTTGGGTAAATGTGTTAAGTCAAAGTGAAGTTAGTTATTGACAGTGTAAGATCTCTTGATCGCATAAAACATAAAACATGAATAATGTTTTATAATTTTGTAAAGAATAAACCTCCACTAAAATATGCATTGACCATAGAAAAAAGACTAAAAGCAGACAATGACACCAGACTTCAGAGACAACATAGTGAGACCGCGTACGGAGTGTGGACATGTCGGGGCCTGCTGGGCTCTCAGGTTAGGGTGTGACATGTGGCAGGCTCATTAGCAACTCATACCTTTTCCTTTTACATTAATCTATGTTGATTAAAAAAAGTCACGATACCTGCATAATAATAATAATAATAATAATAATAATAAATACAATTAACACTAAATTCAAAGTGTAGATGGGTGTTTTCCTGCAGAGTATATTTGTAATACTCTGCAGGAAGCTTCATGCGTGGTTGCTGGTACTTTCACGGAGGAGCTGTGCACAGTGCTCAGGACTGCAAGCAGGGTACTTGATTGACACCTCCCTCACTCTACTCTTTGATTGACCTATATGAGTGGGACAACCCCCATGACATTTTTAAAAAATATTTTTGTACTTTATTGTAACAGTAACATTAAAAAAATAACATATATAGAAATGCAAAGAACAGAAGAGGAAACAACGTGTCACGGAATTCAGTTATGACATAAAAAAAAAAACAAACACTTGTTTAAGGGATTGAAATAATCTTTTTAAAAAACAATTGTTTCTATTTGTTTAGAACGCAGATATCACTTGAATATTTAATATTCACTTTAAACCTTTTCAGATCCTTTTCATGTTGCTTTGTGCTTTTCCTGATAGAGATACCTTTTATAATGAATATTATTTGAGTTTAGTCTGTTCACTAAACAACAAGCAGTGTTTTCCCTGAACTGTATCTCTGCAGTGAAAAATGACTCCTACAGGCTGTGACAGCTGACTCATATTTAAATGGAAAACTTACTTAGGTTCATGCAGGATTTATAGGAGTTATGTAATCTATTTGAGTAATACAGATTTGTCACTATTTCTCAATGTCAACAGATTTCAACACACAGTGAAGGGCATCACTTCATCAGCCTTCCAGATTTTCCGTCCATCCAGAGAGGAGAAAAGGTGAGATAGCTTTTGTGCTATCATGAGTCATGCATTGTAGTTTGAGGAGATGTAAATATGGATATGGCAAGTCCGGGTCAAAGCACTCTCAAAACGACCACACATTTGCTACAGTACCAAAGAGGCAACACAAAGTGTGCATGAGCATCCATGGCATGGCATGTGATGTCATCAAGTTTCTCTGTAAGCTGTTTAGCTAAGTTTATTGCATTTAATATGGTTTAGCTCATTGTAAGGAGCACATTTAAATTCAAGATTCAAAGATTTATTGTCATATATACACAACTACAGTGTCGTTATGGAGTGAATAAAAAACTTAGGTCACAGGTTCCTCAACAGTGCAACAGTGCAATTACAACAATAATAATGTTATGACACCTCTGTTATTCAAGGTGTTTTCAAGGTTCTTGCATTGCCATGTGACCATGTATTGCTGCCTCTTCTAATACACTTCAAAACTTGCCACATTTTTGATTTTTCGAGGAAGACTTTGATTCAAATAACATTTCCAGAATTTTTGCAAATCACTCTTCTACCACAAATCACCTTTACATGTAGTAGTTAACTTAATTTCTTTGGGTTCCCCACTGAGTTATCACTGCTACATGAGATTTGTACACGTTTTAGGACTTAAGGAAAGTCATTTGGAATTGTGCTCTTTACCCACAAAAATAATTGTAAAGACTTTATGAACATACAGTATAAAGATGTCAGTCGTGTGAACGCAGTTCTTTAAGATACTAGTTTGAGAAAACGAGCATTCTCCAGCCAAGTCGCCCTTGAAAAGTGTTCCAGTGCAGGCAGGGAGGTGTAATGTGCTCTCTAAGCAGCTGTTAATATGATCGTGATCTGGGCTGACCCACAGAGCGCATGGGGAGTAATCAGACTTTAATTATACCTTCTTAATTACTTGAACACAATCCGTGTGACAGGACAGCTTTTCACAGTAAATGGGCTATCTTTGCCTTCTAATCGGGCCCTGGTCGCCTGATTAACAAAAAAGTCACTTATGTCTATATTTCCATACATTTTTAGAATTTGCTAACTTGACTTCTCCACATTTTTTATAGTTATTCTTTTAAAAATGGCGCTTGTTTGGCAGGCTCAGTGTTGCCCATCTTAGGTCAGATGGAACACAAAGTGATGGTGAAATGTTCTCTACAATCATCTGTATTATTGCTAGTGAAAGGTATGCACCACAGAACTGGCTCTGCTGAGTGACTCTGGCTCAGAGAGTATGGCATTCCAAGTTAAAAGCAAACCAGACTGAAATTGCCCTCCAATACTGTCTTCATTTTTTCTCCATATTTGGAAATGTTTACCTCCTCCATGATGGTTGACAGAGGTTGGGAGAGGGAATGTGAGTCATTTCAGCTGCACAAGGCTTGAAGGGCTGAGAGGAGACTTCCTTTAGTGAAGCTAACACTTTTCTCTGCTTCAATAATCTAAAGAAACTCTGTGAGTATCATACTATGCTTCATTCTTGTTTTAATATTTTAGTTTGTTTGTAGCATGTCTTTTTTCAGTGAGAGAATGCAGCTTATTACTGTAAAAAATGGCATTCATAACATAATGTATGGTTTTCCATTGTCCAAAGCTGTGTGTATAGGCTGCTTGTGGGGAACTTGTGTCAGTATGTCATGTTTGACAGATCAGGAAATGCTATTGCTGTGTCATTGCAGACACAATACAGACCCATTATGTTCCTGTGCATCTCTGCAAGGAAGAGGAAGCCACTTATATCGATTGTTTGACAGATATCTTTTAAATGAAACGTCACACTTACTCTGTACTGCACAGCAATATGAGCAGGTCAGAGCTGAAGATGAAAGCACACAGATGTGTTGTGTCTGGACACACTGAATACACATTGTAGGATAGAAATAGTGAAATAGCTCAGAAGGCTTTCCTGCAGATGTGTGTGTGTGTTTGAGAGTTGGGGGCAGTTTGAAGAATCCTGGTTTTGCAAACATCCACTCGGACTGATATCTACACCTCAACAGGTCTGACCTTCCTCCTGGCTCTTACTTTCACACTTCAAACGTTTAGTGGCAGGTGTGGCAGTAGGTGAGGGAAAAAGTAAATGATTTGACTTAGCTCTAAGGGCTGGGGCTGCTCACTTCACTGTGATGATCCTTTACTTGTATCTCTAAATAATGCTGGGAATGTAGCCTTGGGGCTAAACACTGGTACGTTTCTAAGTCAATGTTCTTTTTCTCCCATATTGTTTTATTGGATACTGGATTGTATATGCTTGCACAGTCATTACTGAATAAAGGAAACTATCATCTATTTATATGTTTATGAAATTTTAGGTAAAGCATTTTTTCCTTACAATTGTCATATGGCTGAACTTGGAGCTGCTATTGTGCTGTATTTATGTTTCTTTTCATATTGGAAATACAGGTCTTAAGGACCGTCCACTAATGCCAATATGTACTTGAAACATGCATCAACACCAAGTGTTCAAATATATTTATGCTTACCCTGCAACGACTGATTAACATGTTAAAAGTAACTACAACCACACTTTTGGATGGAAGGATATTCATTCCCCCTTGATTGTAAAAACAATGACCTTTATTTTCTGTCTAGTGCCATGTTCAGGTAAACATTTCGGTCTATCCAATTGGGTTAGGACCAAGTATCTGCAAAACGTCCTATCTTTTTTGGTATTCGTTAGATTTGAGGTGAAACTATATAACATTTTCAGAATCAGAATCAGAATCAAGGTTATTGCCAGGTAGGAATTAGCTTTGGTATCTGGTGGTGCAAACATAAAAAAGTTGCAAAGTAGTTAAAAAGAAGGATAATAAGTATTTACACCAAATACAAAAAGCTAAAAAACAAAAACACTTTGCAATGGAAGAATGGGCCAAAATCTCTCAAGAGACCTGTGCCAACGTAGTAAAGAACTACTCTAAGAGCTTGTCAGTTGTGGCTCAGAAAGGGTACACTATTGACTATTAATTGCCTGGGGGCTAATATTTTTGACCAACCAATTTTTCACTATATTTGATATAAAGCAAGCCTAAAAACATATTTTATTTTCCAAAATATACCAAAAGCTACTAAATAGCACTGGTGAAGGTTTGATTATATCAAGTTTTATCAATGCTGGAAACATTGGGAAGAATTTTAGGAAAATGTTCCATAACTCCTGGGGGGCTAATAATTTAGGCCTCAACTGTATGTCTGTAAAGTGTACATGTGTTTCTTTGTTTTGGTGTTGTTTATGGTACTGTTACATTTTACAGTACAGCTTTGTATTGTATTATATTTGGATGTGAAGTGTGGAGAATATTTCAGATTGTTGTTGACAACATAAGGATGATACTTTTCATCTATTCAATGTTTTCGATATTTGAACAAAATGTATTTTCTAATTCAGTCACCAAGAACATTTTTGAACATTTTGTGAGAAACCTGAAGAACTGGTCTGTCCGATGCCTAACACGTATAAATGCTGCACACTGTCCATTGATTCTCTCTCACCACGTTACTCTCTGTGTCTCTGTAGGATTCAGACAAAGAAAATCCATCGAAGTCACAGGGGAGTGATGGGCTGACACTGACACACACCTCATTACCCCAAATCCTCTAGCCGCTTTTCCTTGACTGAGTGCGCTGCTGACACTAGTGTTAGTGAAAGCCTTTTAGACCCTACACTGACCACTATACATTTGTTTGAGTGTGTCCACATGTGCACACATGACCCTTAGTTATGGCTCACTGGTGCTGGTAACACACAAGTATACTGACCAGCATCACAGAAAACTGTTTAGTATGCACATTTATCTTTGTTTGTTTGTTTGGATAAATTAGTCATGTAGCATGATTTCATTGCACTTTGGACTGTCAAGATGTGTTTATAAAAAATGATGAAGTCTTGAGTTAATTTGCAAAAAGTTATGTTATGGTTGCACCTGCTGCCCGTGGCTGATTCAAATATCGGCTATCATCCTACACACACCCACATTTTTACAATTTAAACTTAAAGGTGGGGTATGTAATTTATTTCAGAAACACTTTTTGTTATATTCCATGGAATGCTCTTAACATCCCGATAGCAATGAATATCTTAAGTGCTTTGACAATAAATACATAAAAAAAATTTCATTTGTGGAAGCCGTGGCGCTGTAAAAAGCACGACCAATCATTTTAGCCGGCCCGGCTAAAATAACTGGATGGCCTACCTGCCTCTCAGCCTTCCATCTCGTGCACAAACTTATCTCATGCCCTCATTGGTCATGTGCGCGTTCATGTGTGTGTTGGAGGAGGGGCTCTGTAAGGAAGTCTGAAGGAAGAGGCAGATTTGTTTTGGCTGCGTAGTTTCAAATTCTAGCGCACTCGAGCTGGTTTCTCCAAAATTACATACCCCACCTTTAATTGTTTTTGTTCTTGTNCATATAATTGTTTGTGTGGTTTTAGCTTAAGCAGACTGTGTTTGTCTATTGTTGTGACTTAGATGAAGATCAGAACACATTTTATGACCAATTTATGCAGAAATCCAGGTAGTTCCAAAGGGTTCACATACTTTTTCTTGCAACTGTACATACGTCTCTCTGCTCATCATACACATACATACGTCTCTATGTCAATCACTTATGTTGGACATTGCTGTACAGAAGTCAAACATGCCAAAGGGCTGGAAATAGCTGGACAAAGCCTACTTCAATCGTTTTTTTAATTATAAAAAAATGTGAACATCTTGGACTTTATTTAAGGGACATTCATTTGAATGCACCTTAAAACACATTTATAATTGTCCATACAAGTGCTCTGAAACTGTAGTACTATTTATTTTTCATAAATACCATATTTGAATAAATAACATCAAGCTTATTGAGAGATCTTTCCTTAACAAATGGCTACGGGCTGATGGAACAAACAGACAGGACTACAGAGTTCACTGGCAGCAATACAGCATGTCATTAAGGAATCATTTCATTTGATGCAATCAAAACTGAATTCTTCAGACATAAGGTAAAGGAGGTCATGACATTGTGTGTGTGGAGATTCATTTAGTATTGGAACAGAGGTGAGTTATTCAAACTCTGTCCACCGGCACAGAGCCAGGTCAGCATTAACAAGAGGGACCGAGTCAAAGACATCCAATAATGTGTCGGGAGCGGTGGTTTTGTCATCACTATCAATGCCGATTACAAGAGGAAAAAACTTAGATTGGGAATCAATCCCAAATCGAGAACTATCGAGCAGACACTGACATATAAAAGAGTACATGAAGCTGTCATTGTTGCCAAATATGCTACCAGACAGTATTAGAACATATTTAAAACCATTCTGCAAGTGTTTAATTCTAAAGTATCCAATCGGATGAAAGTAGCTGTTTAGAAGGCCTCATTAGTTAAAGAGTAATCTGGAGTTAAACAGAAAAACAGAAAGTAATCAAACCCTTAATAAGAGGGATAATCTCCTCCACTTTAGCGTGGTTCTCCAGCTCCTCGCTGTAATTGCTCTTGTTAATCATGCCTTGATTTGTTGACGAGATTCATTAAGAAAACTTGTCTTGAAAAGATAAAATCTCTCCCAATCTGGGGATGCAAACATCTTGAAATGAAGTGAAGTGAGAGCAGATTAAGTCGTTTTAAAAAGCTATGGTCAGAAAGTGATGTAACCAGCAATCAGCGTCTGTCACAGCTTATTAAACCAGTAGAGCCACTGAAATATCTCAAAACACTCTTGTTGATGGTGTTTTGTTATAGTAAAATGTTGAATGAAGTGCTTTGAGTCAGCATTCACCCATTCATACAGAGGCTGCCTACAAGAGAGACTAACACACACACACAAACTTTTGGCCATCTAGAGAAATGGGGTTCAGTATCTTGCCCAAAAAAACTTCCAAGATGTGGCAGCAGTGGCTCAGTCTGTAAACCGAAGTGTCGCGGCTTCACGTCCTGATCGTGATGCAGGGTTGTTGGTTGTTCCTAGAGTCTCTAAAAGTACAATGGGAGCCAGAGCCTTTTCTTATCAAGCTCCACTTTTGTGGAATCAGCTTCCAGTTTGTGTTCGGACGGCAGACACCCTATCCGTTTTTAAGAGTGCGCTTAAGACCTTCCTTTTTGATAAAGCTTATAGTTAGGGCTGATTAGATTCAGCCCCTAGTTTTGCTGATATAGGCTTAGTTTGTCGGGGGACATCTTACTTCTTCCTTCTCTCTGTCTATACCTGTGTACTCTCATGTTCCGATTAACCCAGCTTCCCCAAATGTCTTTCTTTTTGGTGTCTATATACGCCGGGATCCGGAGTCATGGATGATCCTGCGGTCCTGTGTCATGGATCGCGAGTCCTGGATCTTAAGTCGTGGCTGTGGTCCTGGATCATAAGTCCTGGATGGATATACTCGTGGATTCATCTTCCTATTATACACACATGCATTTCCAAACATTTGGACTACCTATGTTGCAAATGTATTATCTTTTCAATTTACACACGGCATCTATTGCACGTCTGTCCGTCCTGGGAGAGGGATCCCTCCTCTGTTGCTCTCCTGAGGTTTCTCCCTACCACAATTACTCATCTTAAAATGAGTTCATAAAAGAATTCAGAAGCAAGCTAAATGAAGGTACAATAGATGAAAAAGCATGAAGATTGGTGATGTTAAGTCTCCAATTATAACATGGAAATGAGGTGATGTAATGTTTCATGTAAATCAATGAATACGGTCTATATAATTACTATACTGTTAACTTATTGGGAATTTATTCTGAAAATCAAATTTGAACCGAATTTGATTCTTGATGGGACGTCATATGTTTCCATAATTTTGATTCGACGTGGTAAATGGGTCGGAAACTGTTGTGAAATTACGTAGTTATTAATATAGTTTTGTATACTATAATAATAAGACTTTACCCGGTTAGCGTACTAATAATGAATTAAATTACGACTATGAAAAGTGAAAGTGAACTCATTGTAAAACTTACTTCCTGAAATGGACCATTGTCTCATTAAGAGACCATGAAGATGAAAGATGAATTCATGTATAGTTAGTTAGTTAGTTAGTTAGTTAGTTAAGTTAGTAGTTAGTAGTTCANTTCGTATTGTCTTCGTGAGGCGAACAATTTTTGGCATGCCAAAGATTTTGCCATCGCTCACGAAGGACCGCCGGTGGAGTTTCTCAGGCTCCGGCAGCAACTTCGTGAGCGATGGCAAAATCTTTGGCATGCCAAAAATTGTTCGCCTCACGAAGACAATACGAAGGAAACAAGAAGTTGCCCGATTTTCTTAGGAAGGCAACACGACTACGTGAAGCCCTCACAATGCCGTCGTGTAGCCATCGTATTATAGTACGATGACATCGATATTGCATTTATTGCACAACAAAAAATAATGTTTACATATTATGTAAATAACCCAATTTGTGTTCTGTGAAGCTGAAAAGGATATTACATTGCTTTTGTTACTTTCATTGCAGTTGTATGTCTGTATGGTTAACTTCCTGTTGTATTTAGATGCTTTTATTTTAAAGGCAAGTTTGCGCTGTTGACAGGAAGTTGTTGTTGCTATAGAAACAACATGACGGAGATAAGTAATATCTTATAATCTACATATAAAGACGGAGAAAGTAAAGTGTATGTTTAAATGATAGCAGCCCCCGAAGAGGCACAAGCTCTTACGTTGAGTCTGGATACATTCTAAATCATCAGTAAAGTCTACGAGCATATTTTCGTGTGTGGTTCGGGTGCCATCGTGTTCTGTAGGCATCGTACTTGCTTCGGCTGTTGCTTGGCTGTTGACCAAGTTCGTGGCCATCTTCGTGCGAAATTCACAATTCCATATTCGTGTGTTCATCTGGTGTCAATTTCGGGACAGTGTCACAGGGGCTTTATAATTGTTGGCAGTACTCAAGCATTCACTTAACTTCTCTTCTTAAATGTACTTTAATTCCTATTTCTTTGAGTTACCAGTGCTGCGGTCAAGTATGTGAACCCTGCATCAGTTGTGACACCAATGGCTTTAAATTACAGTTTTTTCAAATGAATTGTCACTAAAATGAGGGTATATTTTGGATTAGCTGAACGGCTTTCTGGTCTTCAATGGCAAACAAACTGATGGAAATGTTCTTCGAAAGATTTGATCAGTTTTGTGGTTCAAATTAACTTCATGAAATGCAATCAAAGTATTCAAATTGCAGGCTAAAGATGCAGCCGGTATCACAATGTGAATGCAGTGGATCTGTAAATATAAAATCATGCACATTCATTAGCAGTGCAAAAGCACAGATGACTGAGAGGCTGCACAGAGTCTGAAAAGTGGCAGGGAGCACAAACATGTTAAAACTGTTTGAAAAGAAGAGAGCAAATTACATGAAATTCTTAGGTGAGTCTTACAGAAGTCAGTTCACCTTCAGATTCCTTACACGATGCAATCTTGAATACATTGAAATTAAAGTGGCAGTGAAGAGAGTAAAGTGGAGAGAGGTTTCAATGTTGAAGAAAGAGGTATATGATGGGTTATCAAAAATATATACTGCATGAGGGAGCATGTTTTGTAACTAAATAATTAACATATAACAACATTGTGACCACCAGCAGCAAATTGTGCTACAGCCAGTGGAGGGCAAAATGAACCAAGGTAACTAAGATGCTGACAATAAAATGCATGTACGTTTATGGAGCATTATATAACTAAATAGAACCACTCATCTTTTTCTCCAAAGCCGCAATAACAAGACGTGGGTGGATATTTTCTTTAGGTGGAGTAATCGTCCGCTAACCAAGCAAAGATGGAAGCATCTAATAAAAGACCCTCCAGAGCTGTTCTGGACAGTGCTAAGCACTATGTTGTTTCAGGGCTTGATTTTAGTGTGAGTGATGTGGATGATGATAGAGACTGTTTAACCTCCTTTATAATGGGCCAGATCATGCCTCTCAAAAAGCAGCTGTATGACACGTTGAGCTTGTTGACCCTCTTGTTAGGCACCTGGGTTCTCCTGAAAGTTTACTGAAAATCATTTTGATTAAATATCATGCCAAGAAATGTCCCTGATTACATTTGAGATGCCAGCTTCTCTCACTGAGTCTTCCTGAGAGCTCTTACAGCTCATCCAACCTCAGCAAGAACCTCACAGCTGACTCAATGGGAGCACAGTAGAGTATAGAACAGGGTTCATCGTGCACGCGTTGGATCAACTTTCCCAAACATTGTTGGACTCAAGTTCCAATACATTCAGTTTTGAGAATGTAGTTATTTTTAGTTACAGAAAATCAATTAACGTATTTATGGTTTTGCCAACGTCTTCCTTTTTCTAAATGTAATCAGCATTGTAAGGTCTGGCTTTGTTTGATTTTGTATGACTTCAGGAAGTCAATTAGGAGAAAAAAAGAAGAAGAAAGTAATCTGTGTCAACTACCTCCTGAAGATTGAGTCTGACTCTTCCCCCATCTGTTTAAGAAAAGTTGTTTGAGCAGGCATACATAGTGAATGCATGTGTGTGTGTGTGTGTGTGAGTAAGTGCATGGATCAGAAAATACACATTCAAGACTTAGCATGTGATTACTATATTTCATGGCAGAACCACGTGACCCTCTTTGAGCTTCAGGCAGAGTCTCTCCAATCACAGTCAGTTTTTTTTAAAGTTCTCCCAGTGAGGCTTTGCCTTTGGTCTTGCAGTCTCAGAAGCTCCTTGCTAACACAAGGTGGAATTAAATTCATGCTCTTTATATGCTAATAGTAGAAACAGTAAACCCCGGAGGTGGTTCATATCCCAATAGTCTGCTAAAGAGAGACGACAAATAGGCTGAGCAATGGGGTCAAATGAACAGCTCACATCCTAAATTGGTGGGCATGTTTTGCGGCTCTGTTGGATGTGTGCAAAAGAAAGAAAATACTTGGTGTTGAGCTTCTGTGTGTGAGTTTAAGCTTTTCAGTAATTCTAACAACATGCTGACAAACTTGACATGAGATTACATTTGGTTTATTATAATATAGGCTCACACAGGCATCCACATAAGGCATAGGAAACCCTAAATGAACAATACCTCTGTGTGCTTACATCTGCAGGAGCCTAAAATATAAAAGGAGAGAAAATGACCTTTAACACACGCTGTAACCATGACAAGTAAGGAGGCGAGCAGGCCCAAATTGAGGGTTATATTAAAAAGTGTCCTGCTAATACAGATCATTTGTTTTCAATTAAGTACAATACACTTTTTATTTTTCTTAAAAAATCTATGTGCAGAACCAAATAAAAGAATCTCACATCTGACCATATCTGATGGGTGCCACCCAATACAAAGTGCAGCAATCAACCCAAAGGCCTAGGCTCATACATGTGTCCTTTCATTACAGAAAATGCAGGGAAATTGAAACCGTACAGACTTATTGATGTTCAAATATTACATGCATAACCTTTAAGATCTGATGTTATCTCTGTCTCCTCTCATCTCCTTTTAGTTTTGACCCCTATTTTTCCATCTCTACCTCAATTTTGATCTTTTTCATTTTAGATTTAGAATGCAATGACATTTATATTCTTAACCATTTCCACCGTAGTATTAATCACAGTCAGTTCACTGGGTCAGATATTTACAAAGGGTGAACTTGCTGCTAGAAAAGCACTTAGGGAGCTATCAAAATGCGACAGAAAGAGGGATTCAAAACGTTTTCATTGTGTAAAAAAAGTCATTGTTGAAGCGCAGGTAACAGCATCCAGGAAAGTCCACCACATCTTACTTCTCATTCATACTCTGTTACATTCACAGCAGGAGCTTTATCTTCCACTGTTGGCCACTGAGCAGCTCCACAGGGGCAGTCGTGTGTTAAGCACACTGCTGAAAGGCTCCTCAAGGGGAGTTGTTGAGGAGTAGGGAAGTGTAACATTCATACTTTCTTTGCAAGCCTTTCTCCAGCAAGTCTGGGTATAGGAACTGCTGATCCCCCATGTGCAAACCTGTCTTTCTTGCCTCTGGACTTCCACCAGCCTTTCCGCTTTCCATCCCATCCCTGTCTCTTTCTGTCTTCCTCGATTCAGGCCCTGGTCTTGGTCCACATTCTAAGATTGAGAAAGGTCCTTTTTGATCGTTTTTCTTTTTGACACCGCACCTGGGACGACATTCTATCAATTAAGCCAGCAGGCCAGTCAAAGCGTTGCCTCATATCCTTCATGCCTCCAGCTCAAACCGGTTTCCAGCCCCCATGTGTGGTCCTACCCATGAATCTTAATCTTGTACCCAAACAGTTCCCATCAATTATCTTGGCTGCTACTGCTAACTCTTCCCCTGCCTCCCATTTTTCCCCATTAAAAAAGGCTTTTTTCCTCCTCGCTGTGACGGAATTGCCTCGCTCGCTTGCCCGGGAAAAGATTTCTCAGCAGGCTTGTGGACCAAGGGCTTTCCACAGGTGGAAGGTTGGAATGGATGCATGTGTGTATTTCTGTGTTTATTGTATATGTGCGCACAAGTATAGTGTGTTTCTGTGTGTGAGTCGAATTGTGCGGTGGGTTTCTTTTAATGGTTTATCCCGGTCGATTTCTTTGCAATAAATGTTTTGGGGGCTGAAAGCTCACCAGGCAGGAGAAAGCTCAGCAGAATGTCAAGCATCAATACTGAAAATACAATACAATTGAAATCACTCAAATAAAGATTATTGCAAATTCAAAGACTGTCCAGACTCATTCAATCGTGACAGGATTTACCTGGAACTAAGATTTGACAAAACAATCAGTTAAAATAAGAGTTGTTTTAGCTATGGACATATAGGTTGATCAAGGTTCACTCTGTTAGTATGGGTTTTTTGAAGATGAAAACAGCTCAGGCTAAGCAAATGAACTGTTTTCAAATGTTCAGGGTGTACTTTTGTATGTTCCATCTGCATGTGAAGTTTGCTTATCAGCAGTGATGTGCTTAACTAATAGTTGGGATTCAAATCACACATACCAGAGTCCTTTGTGTGCTACTTATAACCGTGCACTCTTACTAAAGCAGCCAGGTGTAGTAGTGCCAGGAGGCAGGCATGTCACAAAGACACACCGGTGCCTGAGGAGATGTCCCATCCACTTTCGTTTGAAGACAATTCATAACCTTGTCATAGTCACCCATATGCTTCCAAAGAGAGGTTGTAAAACAAAACATGGATTGCTCAGGCCATCGCCATTTTGTCAGTGACAATGCCTGCCAGCTGCTTGCTAATCCGAAAATCATCATCATCATCAGAAGACACAGCACAGCAAAACCTAAATGGCTAGCGACCAGCAAGGGCTGATGTTGATCAAAAGTGATAATCAATGGACTGCATTTATAAAGCTTTTTTAGTCTTGACGACCAAACATGACACATCAGTATTCACCAATTCACTCATTCATAAGAGGGAGCTAGTCTAGCCTTCAAACACAACCACACACTGTGGCCCATGCCATCGGGAGCAATTTGGGGTTTAGTATCTTGCCAAAGCACACTCAGGCATGTTGACTGCGACGCAGGGGATCGAACCTTCCAATTGATGGACTACCTCTAAGCCTTTTAGCCTTTAAACCTAATTGTAAGCCATTTAAAGGGTTGAGTTGTTAAACAAATCAGTCCCCGGACAGTTGTCGTTAAAAGTTAACTATTTCATAGAAACCAAAAACATCAAAGTCTAAGGGGATTAACTTGGACGCAGTTGCTCGTGGACGTTTGAGTAACTGCATTCATCTTCTAACACAGGAAAATAGTTAGATTGAGGTCTTCATTAATTAAAATGTCTTGAAGGGGTAAAAGAAAAGCTGGCCAGTCTGTGTCACACACATTTATTAGACTCATTTTGCATCTAGACAACATTTCTTATTCAACAAGCAAGAAAGTATCTCTGGGTATCTCAGCCTGTCAGATAGTGAAGTGACGTGTCATTCAGGACACTGCACATTATATACCGTGGACATGTCTGAAGCTGTCAGCCTGGTAAGATAATTTATTCCATTAAACCGCTGGAACACGGTGACGAGCAGACAGGCTTAATGTTTATGTGTGAGGCATCAAGATGACAAGAAGACACTGCAGGACGCATTTGGTTGTCCAGCTGCATTACTGTTCCTTTTTGGTCCAACCTGAGGTACCTCTGTTGTCAAAACAGTCTCTAATGAGATTTACAAAGGGGGCCAAGATGCGAGTCTAATAATGATTTTTTTAGCTGGATTTGGAATATACTTTATTATTATTTTGACCGGAGCAACATGCAAGACTATTCCTCAGATTTCTCTGTTGAGGATCTGCACTATTGGTTTGATCTGTGGGATGCGTTTCAGTAAATCCAGCTACCTCAAGGCATCGCTTGAGGGCACAGGCTATGAGAACACAGAAATCCGACTTGTTAAAGGTCCAATAACCCGAAGTACAGAATTTTTATTAAAGAGCAGGCTTCATAGGTTGGAATTATCTTCGAATGTCACCTGTGGCCTAACACATTGCATAGTGAATGAAAAGTCTTGAGCAGTGAGACTAAACACGAGGCCAGAGCAGAGTGAAGCCTTCTAAAATGATCTTCCAAAAATACAACGGCTCTAATTAAAATCATACAGTAGTTAGTGAAAATACTGTGATGCCGAGGGAGAAGGCGAGAATTAAAGTATTGATCAGGTGATGTGTTCTTGCACGGCTCCATGCAGACCAAGAAAATCAATTGCAATTACACACATTTACTAAATGATTTTCATATATGACATTTCTGTATTTTCAACAAATTCTTACTATACTAAACTGTGTAATTGTGCCATACTGTATGCGAGTAAACATTTGAGTTACAAGTATAAAATTCAACACAAATCTGTACACTTAAAATACAGATTTTTATAAATGTCTTTCTTAGTAATTTATTATTATACCTAATGCAGTTGAGGAGTGTTTTCTTCAAACCATTTACAGGCAACAAAGTGACAGAACACATACTAAATAAGGAGAGAGAGAGAGGGGCATGCAAATCATTATTAAATCAGGGCAGATTTGACCAGAAAATGTAGTTTTATGTTTCTTGAACTGCTTATGCATCTCAGTAGTTATTGTGCTTTTTTATTGCGCCACACAATCCGAGGAGGAGCTATTTGTGATTCTGCTGTCCTTGTCACCTTGCATTCCTTTTTCAATTTGCAGCGGGACCACCCTTTTCATCACGCCCCAGATCGATTATAATTTGTTTTAAGGCTTAGCGTATGAATGTAAATAGCCAGTTGCTGACACTTAAAGAGATATAAGCTAACACACGGGGAGGCCAAGCAATCAGCTGGGATGCCCATAGTAAATTCAGTGTTGCTTGTAATCTATGTTCTTATTAGAGGAGAGAGCAAATACATCTTGTAATACAATATAAGCAATAAATTACCTAGAGGCAGACAGCTGCAGTGGTCAGGCAAAATGGAGTGCGCAGTTGTTGGCTGTTTACGTGTGTCTTGTTGTACACAGTATGTACAGTAATTATTTTGTTTTTTTAGACAACTAGGAGAGGTTACAGAGTGAATACAGAAAGAGAGGAACGTTGGCTTGCATTGAAAGAGAAAGTTAGAAAGTCATGTATTGTACATGTTATCTGCATACATCTTTAGTGGGTCTTTTTTACAACCAATATCCCCTTATTAATATTATAGAGATACAAAAGAGGATGCTCGGAATAAAGAGGCAAGAGGGTGCTTCGTTCAGAGCCTAACGTCCATTACCCTATATGTCGAAGAACTCAAGAGGGCACAAGTCACATGTTTACACAGTGAATAAGAAGTGAGGTCCAAAAAACAGAGGTGAGTTTGAATTATTTACTTTGCTCTTGTTTTTTTCAGCTATCCAGTTCTGAAATGTCTTGAAAAATATGCCTTCAGACACTGTCTTTGTTTTATTTCCTGATCTCCTGCTTTCAGAACAGTGAGTCTCTGCTTGCTTAAATGTGCTACTTTTATTACCTCTTCTTCCCGTTGATATCACTACATGTATTGTTTTCTTGAAAAGACATCAAAACAAACATGCTTCTAAAAATATGAATGGTCAGCCTTCAAGGCTGATTAGATCACAAATGCTTTCCTCAAGCCTCCCTTATTTCCAGCTTCCTGAGAAAGAAAAATGGAGACTGAAACATGATGGTTATAGCTTCAAACTGAAATAAATGACCAAAATCCATTGAATAGATTATGTACTGTATATGATTTCCAAAAACATAACTGTAGGATCCCTCTAGAGGAAAATATAAACCCATTTAGCTATAGTTTCTAAATATATGAAGTGTTTTTATGCTTGATCTCTTTTGTGGCATATTTTAATTAGCTATCATATAGGAGCAGGCCCCAATGTAAACAGAGAATACAGTAGAGAGGGGGGGTGAGGATGATGAACGGGGTCCCTCTGCAAATATCCATCGTCCAGTGAACTTGAACAAACAGCCCTCTTTTACTCCTTCAGTGCAATTTGTAATTGTTTGTACAACTAGTGGGTAGATGCATCTTTGTTATAATGTGTACATCTGGGTACTTCCTCACTTATTCATTAATTGTGCTCTGGTGGGCCGTTATGTAATTGTTTCTACCAACCACACTGGAAGTGGCTGGCCAAAGGAGCTTAGTGTTAATTTTCCCCGGCCACAGCCAAGGGATTAGATGTACTTTCCCCTGGCAAGGCTGTTTGGCAGCCACACTTATCTGCCGCGACTTACAAGGCTTATTGAACATTAGCATGCAATTATCTTTGATGGTCTAACTTTCCTGCTGGCTGACAAGACCCAATGATTCGCTGTTAGGGCTTTTCTGAGGACACAACATGAATATCAAGGTGCAAAGAAAGCAAGGAAAATAAAAATGTCATCTAGTTGAAATGGACTCTAAATAAAGCTGGTGGCATACCAGAATGCGTTTAAACTACTGATTGATTTTGAAATGCTTTGCATCATTCATCACACACAGCTATGGATTTCACAGATTGTTTTGCCTCAGTTGTCGATATGCTTTGACAATATGACCGTTGTGAGTAAGGTGGAGATATTGCCAGTACATACCTTCTCCACCATATAAGAAATACACAAATGACACTAAATCCATTTCCAGTTTGAAGGTGTTCATGATAAAAAGAGAGCATTTAGCAGTGATTCCATATATTTCACCCAAAGGACCATTATTGTAATACAAGTTGTGAAATAATGGGCTTGAAATTTGTAATGATACATTCCACTTAAAAAAATGTTAAAGGTAGCATGATCTTCAAAGCTGGAGTCTGAAAATAGCCGGACAAATGAGGTTTGATTTTATTGTATTTAATTGTGAAGCACTTTGTAAATTCTTTATTTTTACAGACTTTTAACTAAAAGTAATCATTTTAGATTTGGATGATGACCAATGTTATATCAATGATGGTCATGAATATAGACCAACAAGTCCTCCAACTCATACAACCAAATCGGAAGATTGTTCAAGCGACCTATAATCACGTTTTAAACCTCTAGTGCTCCCGTTGACTGCAAACGCTCCGGAGGGTCGTACATTCACAAATAAGCCTCTCTGGAAAATCCTAAATTGTAGGATAGTTTGGCCATTAAAATGCTTTTTGATTAGACTTCGAGCAAGAAGATTATATTGTACTTTTAGAATCCATGTCCAGTGGATGTGTAGGATCTAGTTTGATAGATATTACGAAGATGATTTGAGGTCTCGCCAGGAGAACGTGTAACGGCAGCGTCCATGTAAAGTTAGCGTCAACCCTCACGAGGTGAAAACAGTATTTCCGGTCTCGAAGTTTTCATAATAAAACCGTATTCCCCTCACTGTCAAATTATTTTAAAGCTATATCTGCAGTACTCATCCACTAAAAAACATCAGTTTATCCTTGTTAATAACACAACATTAATTGGTTTGAATCAGGGGTCTCCAACCTTTTTTAGGATGAGCGCGACTTTCAAAAAACAAAACAAGTCGTGAGCTAATTGAACTCCTCTTTTTTTCTGCAGTGTATATATTTAGCACATTTTATTGCAATGATTTTTTTTAAATGTTAAAGTTAAAATGCATCAATCTGGTGCACTTTGAGCACAACATGAATGTATGGATACAGCTCTCAACACTCATGAACGGGAGCTGTATACTTTTTAATAATCCAAACATCTTTAGAATATGATCACAACCAATAACAAATCATTTAAACTTGTTTATTCTTATCTTATGTTGCCTAGTTAGCATTCTTTCTTTTTATTTATGCATATTTTACTAATCACTCACCTTTTAAACTGTATTTTTTTTTTTTACTGTCCTATAGTGATTTTTTACAACTATATTAAATCTCTCTCTCTCTCTCTCTCTCCAATTCAATGGGGCTTTATTGGCATGAAAGTTAAATTAAACAATGTTGCCAAAGAATCACAATACAAAATAATTAACATACATTTCAAATGTTTACATTCTCTCTCTCTCTCTCTCTCTCTCTCTCTCTCTCTCTCTCTCTCTCTCTCTTGCGTGCTCTCTCTTGCTCTCTCTCTCTCTCTCTCTCTCTCTCTCTCTCTCTCTCTCTCTCTCTCTCTCTCTCTCTGGGGGATAGTCTAATCCAGTTTTGGATAGTCTGCCGTGGACTCATTCCATTTCAAAGAGCTTGGCGTAACTGCCACTCTAACATCCAATAACAGAGCTTGAGGACTAATGACGGGGTTTGTCAAGCAAAGCGGATGTTGTAGTCCCAAACGATAGCTAAGGATTATGGGTAGTGTAGGGTCTTCGGCCATCTTAAACTCCGAAAAAACGATGTGGTTCTCCGAATTGAAGGTTAAAAACACAAAAGCATTGTACACAATTTAAATCAATCAATGTAGTGTATTTAACAAGGATAAACTGATGTTTTTTAGTGGATGAGTAATGCAGATATCACTGTGTAATCATTTGACACTGAGGGCAATACTTCCGGTTTTATTATGAAAACCGGAAATACTGTTTTCACCCCATGAGGGTTGACGCCAACTTTACATGGACGCTGCGGAAAGACGTAGTATATACACGTTCTCCTGGCGAGACCTCAAATCATCTTCGTAATATCTATCAAACTATAGATCCTACACCTCCACTGGACGTGGATTCTAAAAGTACAATATACACTTCTCGCTAGAAGTCTAAACAAAAAGCATTTTAATGGCCAAACTATCCTACAATTTAGGATTTTCCAAAGAGGGTTATTAGTGAATATACGACTCTCCGGAGTGCTTGCAATAAACTGGAGCATAATGCCGCAAATTGTTGTTTCTTATACGACCACTAGAGGTGCTAAACTTTAAAACGTGACTATAGGTCGTAATACGCTGCTGAACAATCGACCTATTTGGTCGTTTTTTGGAGGAGGACAGGCTGATATAGACATATGCTCTTTGTGGAGAACCTTTCAGATGTGACAAAATCTTTTAAATTGTTATTTTTTGTAGCCGTTCTTTCCATTGACAGATCAAAAGGTATAACAGTGCAAATGATTTCGAGTGTGAAGATACAGCGTCAAGGTGGTAAGCGTGGTAATGGACATCTGAATCTGTTCACAGTTCTCGTTTCTGCATCCCCTGTGCGCATCCCAGACAGTTTTCGGAAGCTGCTAATCGTTTTTTTCAGGACCGCGGTGAGTTTTCATTCTCTTTGATTACCTCAGAGCCCCCACACGCCTCCAATTAGAGACCACTCTACTTCCCTTTGGATCACTTAATTCCCTTGCACCTCTCCCTCTCTTTGTTTCCCATCCTCTGTCTATCACCCATTTCCTTTGATTGCCTTTTGCTCACTGCCTATGTTAAATCACCTCTCAGTGAGAGTAAGCGAGAGTGGAGATCAATTCTCTGCCTCATCAGCAGTCAATATGTGGTCGATGGCAAGAAAAGAAGAGGAGGCAACTCTATTGATGATGGAGGAGATGTTGTCACACCTGATTTTCTCTTTATATCTTATTCACCTGGGGCCCTATGATAACATCGGTATTGATTCCCACAAGCCAGCACTGACTAATTCAATAATGGCAGAGATGTAGCTGGAATCAAAGGCAATCAATTACATTTATGCGCTGTTTTTATAGCTGCAGATGTAGCAGTTGATGTTAAAATACCTAAGTGATTGATTGGAAAAGCTGTGTGAGTGTGTTTGCGTAAGTGTGTACAAATGCAGCAGCAGGTGTTTTGGCAAGGGCAGGTGTTTTGGCCAGGACATGAACTAGTCTCTTGACTGTATGCCAACTCATTGCCTCCTCTCTGCATGTGCACACACACATGCACACACAGGTTACCTGCAAAAGTTCATGACCAATGACCCCCTTGCTGTAAATGGATGAATAATTGCCTATTGTCTGGCTGTCTGCACAGAAGCGAAGGAAAATACAGAAATGTAATCTGTATTGAGGTAGCACCTCAAGGGTAAGAGTGTGAGTGTAGAATGAGGAAAAGGAATATAGGCAGACAACCAAAAGGATGCTCAGGAAACCAGAACAAAACTGAAATGGACATAAACAGTTACTGGACCAAATACAATGAGAGTTTTTTTTCTTATAGGTTAGTGTAATAAAGACCTCAACGGCAAATTGGACATTCAAAACCATAGTATCCTGCATCAGTATATCTCATTTCATCCCTACGTCCTCCAGTGAAGGCCAGTCAAAACGACAGTATCTCTCAGCCTGTGCCGATAAGAGGACTTGCTTGGTGCCATCCAAACATTCCTTTCTTAGTGGCACAATAAAGTCAAGAACATTAGAACACATTATCGCCATGAATTGATAAGTGAAGTCAAAGTTTTGCTAATGTCCAACTCATTACAATCATACAAACACCTGTAAAAAAAAATGTTGTCACAATTGTAGCCCTCAGGTGCACACAATAAGCAGAATGAGCAGAATTTGCTTGGCAGACTGTGTAAGACAAACACAGACACGCACTGAGGCAAGACAAAGAGCTTGTTGAGCAATCACTGCACTACAGCACGTACAAGTTATGCTTCCTGACACATAATTTGATTTTAATGAACAACAAGTCACAAAGAATGAAGCTCAAAAAGCCTGTTTCCATCGGCGTCCATCTGTAGAGCTAGGCTAATGAAGTGCCTGGCACATAGCACCTGGACAGGGAGTGAAGGGTGTGTGCATTTACACTGATACAATCACGCAGCCTTCTCTCTTAAACCAATGAATATAACAGCAGGCCATCCGTCCCGGTATAGTTAAAGTGCCCCGTGATATGTTGGAAGCCAATGGCAAATTATGTAAAACTGTTATTCTCCTTTGATCATTATGTATTTTTTATTGTGCTATCAATGTATCTACATCTATTACTATTATTTAACAAAATAAGCGTGTTGTCACTTCCGGTTGTTGTTGTCACCTCCGGCTATCCTGTGTGTCTGTTCTGCTGCTGATAGCTTATATTATCTTAAAGGTGGGGTAGATAATTTTGGAGAAACCAGCTTGAGTGCGTTAGAATTTGAAAATACACAACCGGAAAAAATCTGCCACTTCCTTACAGAGCCCCTCCTCCAACACACACGAACGCGCACATGACCAATGAGGGCACGAGATAAGTTTGTGCACAGATGGAAGGCTGACAGGCAGGTAGGCCATCCAGTTATTTTAGCCGGGCCGGCTAAAATGATTGGTCGTGCTTTTTACGGTACTACAGCTTCCACCGATGAAATGATTTCATGGATATTTTGTCAAAGCACTTAAGATATTCATTGCTATCGGGATGTTAAGAGCATTCCATGGAATATAACAAAAAGTGTATCTCGAGCCGGTTTCTCAAACTTACCTACCCCACCTTTAACTTAAATCGTTCGCCTTAAAATTCTTGATCACGGCAACTACCTGACGTTGTAATCACACATTACTACAGCTAATAAGCACTCACAACTCTTCTTCTCTTAGTGACTGTAACTCCACAGTTTCTCCTTTCGGGTTTGCTAACGGTAGCTTAGCTTGGTAGCTAGCCATGGCTCTTTACCCACCCTTGGGTGCCATTTCCTGCTCTACCTGCCTCCTGTTTGGCTACTTCGCTACC